AATCTGACTTGTTCTTATGATATTCCTGTTCAGATTTACTAGATAGTTATTCAATGGGCAAGTTGTCATATTATTATTAGTTACAGATGGAAACCTTAGGATGGTAAGTAGTGGTATAGTTCGGCAGCATACTCCAGCTGTGATGTGTAACTGTTATCCAGTAATGAAATATTACTGGATAGCTGTGATGTACAAAGCTTATCAGTAGCAAATGAATTGTTAACTGGGAGAAGCTGGGACAGCAGTTTTCCTGCAGCAGCCAGCTGAAGCTTCAAAAAACATACCAGAAAAAAATTGATCTCCTGATAACTAGTACATTAGATAAAAGTGAGACGTTTTGATGACCTAGCAACTGGCATACTAGCTTGTATTCTTGGTTTTTTGGTACCACACGTGGGGAAGATGTTTGAAATCTCCTGCAGCTACTGAGCCTGGGTAGTGATCCACTGTGCAGTTCAATACTTTCAATGCCCTTCATTAGTTTTAGCACTAAAACCGTATCGGAATCATGGTAGGCATTAGCTGATTGTGAACTGTTCTGGTAAGTACTGTGCTATCTCTAGCGTTTGGCAGTGGGCACAAGTAACATTTCTGACTTCTAAGCATACAGGCCACCCAAGGGACCCGTATGATAAATCACATGCTCAAACAATTTACTGTCCACTTCTGTGTGTATGGTGAGTCCTGTTCTAAAGGTCAGGAAAGCTTCCTTGATAACATAATGCAGTGAGCTGTAACTGCATCAAATCCGGGGGGTTGTAGAGCAGCCTAGGAGAAATAATTATGCCTGGTAATGGGTAATTACAGATAATGGTTCTTTTTGGGGGTGGCCAGAAAAAAAACACAGCCATGTCTGGAGAGAATATTGCGTAGCACATTAACTTTGTAGTAAACTGCAAGTGCATCACTGAAACCACAGCAGCCCTTTTAAGTTGCAAGGGAAGTTTCTTTTGGAGAAGTCAGGTTTACTTGAAGAAAACCAGTGAGATTCAGGTTTCTGTTGTTCTCTTTTCCCCTTCAGGAACGAGACTTGATGTCTTAGCAGAAAAGCTGCCCACTACCAGTGATATCCTGGAACACAAGAATTGCTCTGTCATGATAGCCTGGTGGGAGAAACAGATTGTTCCACTGGTTTCTGATTATGGCTTTAGGGAGTGATTTCACACCAGCCTCATTCAAGGTCCAGCCTCAGACCTCAAAGGCAGCTGTGAACGGAACAAATCCACTGTAGCCTGAAGTACCGCCAGGTCTGCTAATGAGGGAGGGAGAGGCATTCATTGGGAGGGGGCAGTGTTTCGGGTAAACTGCTGAGACCTCAACTTATTTTGCCATCTGAAGAGAACTATTGCACATGTGAATGATTTCATTCCGTTTAAGAAATTATTGCAGCCAGCCTTTGGTATTTTTTTTTTTTTGGTAAAAGTTGACTAGTGCCTGAATTAGCTATGCCCTCTTATGAAGAAACCTGTCTCTGAATACTACTAATTAAGGTAATATGACATCATGGAGGACTTCAAGTGTTTATGGCTCAGTTTCAGGATGTGGCAAGCCGGAGAGTTTTTTGATAATCCACTGGATTGTGTTTTTTACAGGATTAGCAATATTGGCACGTGTTTACTTGGGAATGCTGATCAGACCCTAAGAAGCAAGAAGAAGCACAAAATTTCTCTCTCTGATCTGGGATTCTGCATATACCCATATAAACAAGTCAAGTGAATTTAACACCAGCATCCAAGGGTCTAGAACATAAAAACGACCTTGTTGGATCAGATGGGAGAGCACATGCTTTATTTATAGTAGAAGAGACCCAACATGGTGTAGTGGTTGGAGTTACTAGGCTAGGTAGAGCAGTGTTACACAAAATATAACGCAGCTTGCATGTTCATAGAAATTGTTGCTCCAAGCAACCCCCGTCATTTTGGGGACAGCTGGTTGAGCATTAAATGCCATCATGGGAGAGCTGCCAATTGGGCATGTCTTATGTCCTACCAATTCTAGTGGCACACAGCCTGGGCTCACTGGCTGCATAGATGAAACGTCAAACTTCTCCTGCAGCTTTTGACCCCACAGCAAGACGTACTGTAAAAATACACACCCTCTCCTGAAATGAATTATTGCTAACTACTGTTAATATGGTGTATGCTTGAAGCCTTTTGTACAACATGGAAGGATCAATAACAGTATATATTATATGGTGCATTGATCTGGAATGAAAGAGAGAACTGCATTTCACACTGTGGGGTGAGGTAGCAAAGATGCTGTCTAAGGATTTTAAAACATGGAGGTGAATTGAGATGTAACGATGAAAAATCCTTTCTCCTGACTACTAGAAACTCCATCTTTTATTCTGCTTCCTAATTTATGTTTTTAATTCTATTGAGTGAACTTAAGGCTCCCTCTGTAGTTTTAGAATCTTTTTGCCTTCATCCCTTTAGATGATTTCTTCCATGGCTGTGAATTTTAGATTATTCTTTTTACACTTGTGCATTCATTTTCTCTAGTATTCTATAGTTCTGATAGTAACTATACTTTGTAAAATGCTCAATTTTCCTGCATTTGCTTTCAAAAATCAGTACTTCATATGTTTCAGTTTTTATCCTATTAGACATTTCTTTTCTAAACTGAAGACAACAAGCTATTTTTTTAGTGTCTTCCTATAAGGAAGTTGGTCCATCTTGTGGTAAATTTTACCCACCTATAATTCTCCCAAGAAAACAGTAGTACTCATATTGGATATGTACTCTTGATTTATGTTAAAAGAATTATCCAAAAGATGCCCAGACAGATTTATTGACTGTATAAGGCTTTTAATTTCTACTGTGGCTGTTTTGTTGAAATCTTTAATACACAGCACTGTTGACCATTTGTAGCTATAAGTATGGCTAATACTGTTATCCAGTTTAAATCAAATTATCATCATTAAATCATACTAGGATTGAGTTGTGTAAAGTCTGCATGTACAAAGGCAAAGGAAAGCAAATGGTTCACTGTTGGTCTGATGTTGGGGACTGACATGATAGCCCGGCTAAACCGTATTCCTGGAATGCATTTTCTCAGTTCTCTTCAGATGGGGTCACTTTGCAGAATTACATCTTAAATCCACAGAGGATATGCTCCATTGTGCTAGCATTACAGAACCTGTCAGTCTTTGTGTGTGTGTGTGTGTGTGAATATGTATTTTATTCTCCTTAGTTATGCATAGTCCATTCATCCCCCTTAAAATGCCAGTGTGCTACTGTACTGTCCAAAGTGTAGTACCTGGGCAAATTTATTTATTTATTTATTTATTTATTTTATTGCATTTTTATCCCGCCCTCCATGGCAGGCTCAGGGCAGCTTACAATATGTACCAATAAATATATACATTAAGACTCCACAATATTAAAAAGAGAATTAAATTAAAATCACTATATATAAAACCATAACTACTCCAAATATAACTACAATAGAGGATGGCAGCGTTCTCTCAACAATTGGATGGTCGCCTACCCCTAAACCAGGCTGTTGGTCGTTAGGCTGGCAATGATGTTGATGTCAATGTTATGGCCAGGGCCATGATGTTAAAGGCGGCCCCCTAATTGAAAGCCTGGTGGAAGAGCTCCATTTTACAGGCCCTGCGGAACTGCCATTAGTGACTCAGCTCCCCCTGCCCATGATGTGACTTTGTGACTTTGTGACTCTGTGCTGCCCCTGTGTGTAAAACTCATCCAATCCTGGCATTTATGTCAAAGGTGGGGGAACAGTAAGGGCATATCCCCATTCATCTGCAGTGCATATCTCGGCATACTGAAAGGAGGGAGTTAGCTGAAGTGCTGTCTTCTTTCTATTATAGGAAGACAGAATATTGGACTAACGATGCTGTTTCCAAGGTTTGAACTGAATCTGGTATGCTATAGGCAGCCAGTGCAGTGCTTTTAGGGCAGGCTGGATGTGTTCCTGCACAGGAAGACACAACAACAGCCTCGCCGCTGCATTCTGCACCTGCTGCGGCTTCCGGATCTGAGACAAGGGCAGCCCCATGCAGAGAGCATTGCAGTAATCTAATCTCGAGGTGACCATTGCGTGGATCACTGTTGCTAGGTCATTGCGTTCAAGGAAGGGAACCAACTGCCTAATCAGCCGTAGGTGGTAAAAGCAGACTTCGCAGTGGCTGCTATCTGGGTCTCCATCGTTGAGGCATCCAGGAGTACTCCCAAACTCGTAACCTCCGGCAGTGGCACCAATGGCATCCCATCGAAGGTCGGGAGAGGAATTCCTAACCTTGGCCCGCTCCAACTCAGGCACAGGACTTCCATCTTCGTCGGATTCAATTTCAGTCGACTCAGTCTAAGCCAACCAGCCACGGCTTTGAACGCCAGGTCCAGATCGCCCAGACTAGAGTCTGACTAGCCGTCCAACAACAGATAGAGCTGTGTGTCATAGGCATATTGGTGACAACCCAGTCCATGCCTCCGGGCAATAAGGTTTTTCTTCTGAATAGTAAATCCATTTCTACTCTGATTTTTAAGTATGTTGACCATAAGAATTGTAGCTCACTATTGGCTATTTTCTGAGATGTCACTGACATTAGTGACTCAGCTCCCCCTGCCCATGATGTGACTTTGTGCTGCCCCTGTGTGTAAAACTCCTCCAATCCTGGCATTTATGTCAAAGGTGGGGGAACAGTAAGGGCATATCCCCATTCATCTGCAGTGCATATCTCGGCATACTGAAAGGAGGGAGTTAGCTGAAGTGCTGTCTTCTTTCTATTATAGGAAGACAGAATATTGGACTAACGATGCTGTTTCCAAGGTGTGCAGGAGGATCTCAAAGGATAAAAGTCACTGGGAATGCTTTGGTCCTGCTTGTCCCTCTGACTGTGTGCCTTCTTCTCATGTGTCAAACCCCCCCCCCCATATGCTACTCCATCGTTCTGCGGGGTCTGAAATGTATTGAAAGTGAGACTTCTAAAAATTACTTCTTCTGTTTCTTAACCAGCCATTATGTTCAATTCTTTTCAGAGGGACGGATGCTCATGCAGGAGCGGGTGGGCGAGACGCCCTCGGGAGCGACCCGAGGATGCGTCCGCCATTCGCGGAAGCCAGACAGGAAGTCGTCTTCCTGCAGTTCTTAAAGGACTTTGAAAATGTTCCTGCGCAACCCAGCCGGCAAACCGATGTTTACCAAGGGGTGTCAACCTATCGTCGGTCTGAAAGGCGGCAGCAAGGTGAGCACACCCCGGCAACTTCTCCAGACCCTGTTGCAGAGCTGATGGTGGTAGAGTCTCCTCCAGTGATTCTGTCAGGTCCAGGTGTAGCTGTGATGATAAAGGAATCTTGTGTACAAAAATAAGTCACATACTGCAGTAGCCTAGCAAGATGCCACCCAAGAAGCAGGCAGTTCCCATCTGAGTGGCGCTCATAAAACACATATAGAACCTCAACTGTACTAAACAGTTAACTAAAAGCAAGTAACCAGAAGTATGTAATAGGAAATCATTTGTTTTTTAAAAGAGCAACAATAGTAATGACTGTAATGTGAAAGTGTCAAAGTGGTACACTAGTATTAACATTGTGTAATGAATAGGAGATACATTATTGGTTTAGTAGCTTGAATTCTCACTGAAAAGACAGAAATTAGGGACATAAGGGGCCTTATTGCTATTGAGTTTAATTGATCTATTACCTCTTGGTTTTATGGCCCTTTGCCTGCAGCAACTTAAACCAGGTTCTTCTTTGCGTGCCAGAAGATCCACCACAAACTGGCATAACAAGATCTTAAATCATAACCTGAAAAAATCTGCTTTCCCCCCCTCTTTTTTATTTTGTATTATCTGGCTTGATGAAGAATTCTGGGGAACACGAAAGCTTGCATAGTATTACATGTCATTGGGTTGGTTCTAAGAAAGGGTATGACATGGGTTTTGTGCTTAGTAGCTGGTGCCAGTCACTTATTTACTAAAGCAATAATGATCACTTATTTTAATAGAACATCCATTTTTCTTTTTTGTACCTTTGGGATACTATAATTTGGACTGTTAGTTTTTCCTTGGGTAGAACTTCCCAATTTTTTGAAAACCAAAGCTGTACCCTTGGAAGTTTTCACCTTGAACATTTGTTACAATTTAGTTGCTGGGAAAAGGTGCTGGTGAATGTGTCTGGTAGAGTACTTAGCAGCCTCTTGACTGGGCCAGCTTTATTGCCATAGAAGGGACTTTTTGAGTTGCCATTGAATAGAATGGAAAGAAAGCTGGTTTGCACAGAAAATGTTTCAGAAGAGAATCTGAAAATTAAGTTGTCATGATCTGGGCTGTGCCAGCACGGCCTAGTAGGGTTGCCAAATGCTTTTTGAGCCGCAGCGGGGGACTCCCGGCTTGCGGCTGGAGTGCGCACACCGCATCAAGGCCCTGATGTGCATCAACAGGTTCCTGGCTCTTCTTCCAGAGCATGTTAGGCGCCCCCTTGTGGACAAGAGTCCTTCCACTCTCCAGGAAGCAGGACAGTGGGCCGAGCGACTGACTGAAGCCTACGGAGGGCAGAGGTATAGCCCCCCTTGTGACTGGGGTAGGAGGGAGTCCCCTAAATCTCCACCTCGGTCCAGTAAGCCATCAGAGGTGACAGGAGAGCCGGCCCAACAGCAGCAGAATGGTCCCTCAAACCCCGGGGTGAAGTCACCACACAAGGAGAGGAAAGTGCCCCGGTGTTTTGTGTGCAACCAACTAGGGCATATCTGGAAGCAGTGCCCTCACAACGGAGCCAGCATGTACCACCTGATGCTGGAAACCAACCAAGCTGTTCCTCCTGTATTCAATCCAGAGTATATTCCCCAGTGCCACTGAAAGAAGGCTAAGCGGGAGCTGGTGGGAATGAACAGCAGACACTAATTACAGCTTCCATCAAGCCAGCAGCCAATTCAGAGGACACCATGTTGGGCTGACAGAAGGGTAATGTACCTGACTCCGGGCCCTTTAATCTCTTTCCAGAATTTTTCTCCCTCATTAGACAGACTGTGAGGGAAGAAATTGAACACTCCTGTCACCAGGGAATCCTTAGAGCAGGCAGATCCCTATCCAGTCCTCTCTCTTCTCCTTCAAGGCTTAAGGGTTCAGGAGAAGTCCCATCGCTTGGCAGAGGTTCTACTTGGCTGACTGAAGTGGCACAGAAAGAGTCAGATAATGACTTAGATGACAGGGAAGAGGGTAAGTTCCTCTCAGACGAAGAGGAAGGCGATATTGAGATCCCTGAACAGTCCATTAAGTTTTTGTTTTTAGTCAGATGACTATCAGTACCTATTGTTTAAGATGCTAGCAACCTTAGATCTACATCAAACCCTGATTGGAGATAATCAAACTCCTGCAGGGCCAGTTCACAAGTGCAGATCAAAGGGAAATAAAGAATTCTTCCCTAGATCCAGTGCAGGTGAGAAAGTTTTTCCATTTCTCGAATTCTTCATGGACTCTGGTCCCGATGATCTTTCTCGGGTGTTACAAACTGTGGCTGGTTTGCTCAGACTGAGTCGGTTGAAATTAAACCTTGGGCTACAACAACTAATGAACTGTGGCCGTGAAAGCCTTCAACAATTAAAAGAAGAGTGGGTTAAACCACTGGCCAACAGACAGTTTCTAGGATTTATTTAAAATATTATACGCCTTACCATCTTATGCCTATGAGTTTTTACAGATCCCACTGGTTGATGCTCTGGTTACTGCACTTCAGTCCTCTGGCCTACCATTAGAAGATGGCCAAGGTTCCATTAGGGATAGCATGGACATTAATGAAGGCACACGAAGCCACAGCCATGGTAATTGGGGTGTCTCTGCTACAGCTTCTATAGTGTTCAAGGCAGCCATAGTTTGGACCAGTGTTCCCTCTAAGCTGAGTTTGTGAGCTAGGTCACAGTTTTTTAGCCTCTGGCTCACACATTTTTGTGAAAGACGTTTTGTTGTCGCACAGAGATTGATAGTGGTAGCAGTGAGCCTATATTTGGTCACTGTACCAAAGGGGGGACTTGTAGTATGAATGGGAATAGAAAGATTTTTATATATAGGTTTCTTTCTTCTTGATTGTTCATATTCATATTTCTCTGGTTTTTATAGATTTATTATTTAAGTAATATTTTATTAGGATGTTAGAAAGACCTTTTATATAGAAGGTTTTCCTCTTGTAGGTCTGATATTGTTAGCAGACAACATAATAGGTACAAAGTTCATGGTTCTGTAGTTCTTAGGGCAAACCTTTCAATGTCTGGGTCAGATAAGATTTTAGTCTCGTATGAAGAATCCTTGCCCATTATCATTTAGGTTAGGTTAAGTAAACACTTAGTTTGATGTAGATATATGTTTCTTTATATCTGGCCAATCAGAGGATTATTACTCAAATTACCACTGTCTTTTGTAACCAATTATGCTGTTTGAATATTGTTTTCTCGATGATGTCAGTCCATGTATAAAATATCATGTATTTCCTGAATATGTTCAGAATAGGTTCAAGGAGAAGATGAAGAAGAAAAAGAAGAAAGTTGTCCATTTTTGATTAACTATTTGGTCTAATTGTTTTCCCATTAATTGAAGCATATTTCCTGAATATGCTGAGAAGAAAGTAGTCAACTTTGGATGGACTATTTGGTCCAACTGTTTTTTTGTTAATTGAAATAAAACATAGATCTTCCTCCTCATTTGACTTCATTTTTGACATGGAATCTAATATGTGCAACATTAGCTCAGGAAGGATGGCTCCATAGCAAACTAATTTATGCAGTAGCCAGATTGCTTGCTCACAACTTTGATGCCAGTCACTCACAAAGTAGAATTTTTGCTCACAAGACTCCATAGCTTAGAGGGAGCATTGGTTTGGACTAGGAAGTCCTTCAACTGCTCCCAGACAACAATCGCTGACTTCAACAGACTTCTTAAGGCTGCCTCCTTCGCAGCAGATGTAACACTGGACTCCTTCATTTTCTCCTTGAGGGCCATGGCGTCAGCAGCAGCAGCTGGAAGGACACTGTGGTTATGCGTATGGTGGGCTGATTACCATTTCTAAGGCCATAGTCACAGCCTGCCCATTCCAGGTGAACAGGCTGTTTGGGGATGCACTCAACAGGATCCTGGTGGAGATCAGGGATAAGAAAAAGGTGCTCCCCAGAACACTGAGAGATAATGACAGAAGGCCCTTTGGAAATTTTTCCTTTCATGCCCGACATATGCTAGCTAGATTCAAACAAGATGTGAGAAGATCCAAATGGACTCAGTCAAGACAGCACTTCAGAAGGGGAAACATTAACCCCAGATTCAAAAAGCAATCAAACAAGAAGACAGACAGGCCTGACTGAGATGGGAAACTCTCCAAGGTGTGACTTGCTATCCGCTCTGGTGGCACAACATCTTCTTCATTTCAAGGATGTCTGGGTCGACTCCCAAGCTGACAGTTGGGCACTAGAAATAGTCACCAATGGTACACCATAGAGTCTGCCAGACACCCACCTGAGTGATTCCTAGTCTCCTCCACCCACAAGAACCCTCACAAATGACTCAGAAACAGCAAGGTGATCCAACATCTTCTCAGCATTCAGGCCATCGAGTTCATTCCACACTGGTAATGGGAGTGTGGAATGTACTCCATTTTCTTTGCGGTTCCAAAAAAAGAATGGGGATTGGAGAGTAATTCTCGATCTGAAATGCCTCAACAAATCTGTGAAGCTGAGGCATTTCAGAATGGAGACTCTTCGATTGATCACCAAATCTCTACAGTCAGAAGAGTACCTCACCTCCATAGACCTGATGAAGGCTTACCTGCAATACCAATCCTTCAAGGACACCAGAGGTTCCTGCGATTCTATGTTGGAGAAAACCATCTGCAGTTCAGAGCTCTACCATTCAGACTCTCAACAGTCCTGAGGGTTTTCTCCAAGATCCTGATCAATCCAGTTGTAAAGCTGAGAGAACAGGCTATTCACATCCACCCTTACTTGGACAACTTACTAATCAGGTCCAGTTCCTGGCTGAAGTCAAGGGAGGACATGGAGAAAACCATTCGATGCTTATAGTTTCAC